TAAAATTAATGTCCCTTAGCCGGGCTTTCATTCCCTCGATCTCAAAGTCTTGAGCCCGGGGCTGCATCCTTCGTTCTTCGGTTGAAGTCGAGTCGCGGTGCTGGGAGCTTGACCGAACGGATCTTGAGTTGCTCGAGTCTGCCAGCGTCGGATCGATTGTAAGATTAGCCAATCGTTCGGTCGTCTCGATTCTGGTTCGGCGATCCGGGGTCTGCGACGAACTGCGTCGAGCCTGTGGTGAATCTTGGGTCGATCTTGGTTGAAGCTGGTCCAGCTGTGCTCGGTAACCGGCCTGTGCCGAGCCGAGAAGGTCGAGCCGTGTGTTGGTGCTGCGAGCCTACTCTTCTTGACGATCAAAACGTTGCATGATGACCTCCATCATGGCGACCATGGGGTCCTGAACCGGGGCGACCGCCGCTTCTTCGGTCATGGGCACCCCCCGTTCAAGCTCCGTGCGCCTTCCCTGGGCGGCCATTGGTTGGACGACCTGAGGGCGATCCGGGGTATCGAGGATAACTTGGTCGTCAAGGGCTCGTTCTTGCTGAATTCCGTCCATTTCCGAGTTTATACCGTGAGTTGGAGAATTTCGCTCCCCTACATGGCGCGCCAATTGTTGATCCGGGTTTTCGACAATAAATTTATATGCAGTAAGAGGATCGGAAATTCTCGTTTATTGATAATAACTCGGAAACAGGGTACAACGATTGGTATTGTGCGTGCTAGAAAAAATGTGTGTTGAGCTCGGTAGCTTAGATCGGTTGACGAACTTTGTGTTCGGTCGTCTGAGTATCGGAATAAGGTATGAGATCGTTGCTTTCAAGGTCGGAACCTGTAGCTGAAAACGAGATCGGGTTATGGGTTTTATCTGACTGAATGACCGAATGCCGAGGTCGGAACCCGTAGATAGATGCACTCGAGGTCGAAATATCGGTGTGGTAAATTATGTTTTCTGATCAATCGGGCTCGATTAAGAGATTCTTTACTTTTTGGTGTTTGAGAATGATTGCTCTTAAATTCTCTTGTACTTGCCCCAAAGTCTCTTTTCTCTGTCCCATTAACTCATGATGGAGGCCCCTATTTATACTAAAAGTGGAGAGAATATAGTATTAGGGTTTCCTTGGGACCAATGCCGAGGTCATTAACTGTTTGTTGCTGGGCTGGGCCTTTCCTTGGGCTTGAACCGTTTGTTGCTAGAGCTAACTCGTCGGACTCATTCTCTCAGGGCCGAGCTCGTCGCGCTTCTGTTCGCTGGGCCGAGTTCGTGGGTCATCCTGTCAGCTGGGCTTCTTTGGAAATGGGCTTCAAAGATGACAATATTTGAAGCCCGTGCCCAACAATAAATTTAAACCATTACTTATGATACAAATTTGTCCACTTGAAAGTAAACGTACCGTTAACTCAAAACTGTTTTGTGATGCCAACTAAACAGACCATAACACATCTTATCCTAGTAACCACATACAAATTGCTTTCTCAGTATCACTACATTTTTCTAGATTCTCATCTATCTATCATACCCGTCTGAGATGAGTTCCATGTCAAATATTTATTTGTTCCATAAAACAAGCCCAAAGCCTCCTTATACACACTAGAGAGTTCTCTTTCCTGTTATTCTAACTTGCATCTCAAACACATCAACTAGCTTCTTCTTTAATCAAGAAAACCAGAAGCTTCTCCATTCTAATACCTCTCATTAATATAAGATCACAGTTTCAATCAATACCAAAATGACCTTCATAAGACCTTGATCACCATAAACTGTAAATCTCTAGGACTCTCCTAACCTGAAACAACATCATATTACAACACACCTTGATTCTATCATCTACTTGAGCAGGCCATGTATCCTCTTTATATAACTTTACAACAACCAGAAGCTACGCTGGTGTTGATGTATCAACTAGCCTTCCTGTTGTCTAAGCGACCTTGATACTCAATTAGACATAACCCATCTCTGATATCTTCAGTATGAATTATGATTAATACCCTTGAGCATTTTTCAGCTTGGGATGAGGCCTTCTTCATGCTTGTGCAAAATCCATCCGTGTTGTCCTACATATTCATCAAAGGATTTAGTAAATTTAAACTTTTCAAGTGAAAGAGTTCTATAGTAGTTACCATGGAGATGAATGTCACAATGTTGTTGAAGATTTTACCAATGAAGATGCCTAGCAAAGCAGCAAATGCACCAAGGGCCGTTACCTTGATGAATTCATTCGAGTAAGACACTATGTAGGCCGTGATGGTCACAAGAGCACCCATGAAGACGCCAAGCTCCTCTCCGGTTATTTGGCCTTTGGGAGCTACCATCGAAATCATGCACAAAGGAAGCCAATCCAAGAACCTCTTCAAGCAGGAATCAGGAAGGATATTGTCCCTTGCACCCCCCAAAAGTTTTATCTATAAGAAAGACAATTCATTCATTAGACACAATCCCAAACACAAGTAGAGATTCACTATAAGTTAGACACTAGACAAACCTTTTCTTGGTTGGAATGTTTGTCCCTCATCAATGTTTCCCTCTCTTTGTTCCAAGACTTTCTATCATCTGTCGCCTGAACAACAAAAAAAGAAGATAGCAAAACACAACCATCATCTATAGTCACTCAATATAAGGTTTTTCTTTACTTACCTCCTTTTCAATGCCTTCCAAATAAGCAACCTTAGTCATAAGAGCTTTGTTTTCTTCATCAAGGGCTTTGTTTTCTATATCCAGGGCTGTAAATCTTCCTTGCATATATTCTTTTTCTGTTTCCAATCCTCTAATTGCACGTTCCATATTACTCTTGTCGTCAATAAGCATCTTGTGGAGATTTCAATTGAGCCTCTTTTCGTCAACAAGCATCTTTTGGAGATTTGCATGGAGCCTCTTTTCGTCACCAAGCTCTGTTTGGAGATTGAAAATCTCATCCACCAATACGTCGTGATTCTCCTTAAGGTTCTCCTCGAGATTCTTTGTCTTCTGTTGGTAGTCCAGAAACTTCTTGGTCAGCTGTTGCTCTTCGTGCATTAGAGTTTTGATGTCACATACGATCTCCATAGTAGTTCTTTGATCCTCAGAAAGTTTGACAAATGCTAATACAAAAACAATCCGCAAGCCACTGTCACTTAGTAAACGATAAAGAGAAAACAAAGAAGATAGTAAAATACAAGCAGTAGCTACTCACTTGCAGTTTCACCAATACCACCATCAGTGACCAAACTGAGACCAAATGTTTCCTCGAACTCCCTATTACCATTACCAGGCAAGCAACTTAGATGTGTTGCAGCAGCATAAGATCAGATGGAAAGGCATATAAATGTAGAAAGCAACCTTTCTTTGTTGTTCAGTTCAATCATTTTGCGGATATAACGACCTCTGTATCACAAAGAGAAGAAGCATACGAAACACAAGTTAAAACTACATGTCTAAGACATAGAACTTGATAAGATGCTAGAAATTATGTCAAGAAATGTGAAATACCTCAGGAATCTCTCCTTGTTCTTTGTTTTTCCAACCATCAAGTCATCAACGAAGAAACCAGATTCCAAATAATCATTAGCCAATGTAACTAAAACCTTAAGAGCATCTCACTGCATTTCAGAAAAAAGAGGCATACCTCAAGAGCGTACAATTCACTGTCTAAGCAAGAAATTTCATCCTGAAGAAGAGCAATCTTTTTGTTGTTGCAGAGAACAAACCTGGGCTGGAAAAAGTAGACATTGCAAGTAAAACTTAGTCAAAACACTCGGGAACACACATAACTATATGAAGCGTTGTGAAAACGAAGAAAGGAATCTGTATAAACCTCCAAAGGCTTCGATTCAACTTTTTTTGAGATCCTCCGAAGCCTGAATCGTAACACTGCTCAAATACGATTCGATTTCTTTGAGATCCTTTGCTGCATCTAGTCCGGATCCAAGAGCATCGATCCAGTTTTTCAACAAAGCAACTCTTTGCACTTGACGAGAAAGCAACCACATTGTCATCAAACACAAAGAGTCCTCAAGACAAAGATTGAAAAAAGAGATTGAAAATGCTCACGACGCCTTCTTCATGCTCGATCATATCTTCTTAAGTAGATGTGGAATGCCAGCTGCGAGAATAATTCCTACCACCCCGAAGAGAACAATATATTCTTCGCGGGAATGCCATATGACTTACTCCAAATATAGGATAGCTAAAGCAGAACCATCATCTATAGTCACAATATAAGACAATGTGTAGACTGTTTTCTTTACTTACCTCCTTTACAATGCCTTCCAAATAAGTAAGCTTTCTCATAAGATCTTCGTTATGTATATCAAGGGTTATACTTCTTCGTGACATATAATCTCTTTGTGCCGCAAATGCACGGCGATCAAAGTATTACTTGAGGGTCGAATCCACCGAGGACTGAGAGGACACTATAAGTTTGCAGGATTCAAGTTAAGCTGCAACAAATATGGATTGGTTTTTGGGGTTTTGTGTCACTTAAATCGGAATGCAAACGGTGAAATCTAAAACAAGTGTTGCGCTTCATGAAATTCTTTGGGGGTCATGGATTAAACTATTCAGGAATGAGGAGCATAACTCTATTTAAGTATGCAATCTAGTCATAAAATAATCATAACATTCTCATATACATGACTAAACATGCTTAACAACCTAATTCATTCAGGTTATGAAGGTGAAAAGGTAAACACGCCGCAGAAGTTGATACAAAGCTAATCCAATACTAGTTCATACAGATCTAATCAAGTTGTCAGCAAGACTAAACCAATGTATAACAAATCACTAAGGTTGTCAATCAAAACAATCATGTAGTAAGCATAGACAGGGCCGCCTCACCTCGCTCGGTTTCCATTTCGGTTGTAGATGTGTAACCTTGCATCTCTTCTATATATGTATGTGTGTGTGTGTTTTTATACAAATTCAAGTTCTTTTTTGCTTCGCAAATGATATACTAGATATAATTACATTGATAACAAAAAAAAAAATAAAAAATGTTTACTTGTAATTGATTTGCAAGCTAAAAGTACTTCTCATTG